TGTAGCACCGAGAGCGAATCAGTTACATGGTTATATCTACATCAGAACATCACGAGACCAGAGACGACTCTAATTATTAGAAATTAGTATGATTTTGAAATTTTTGAATTTTAAAATCTTATCTGTATTCTGAAATTTCTGTATTGAAATTAAGAGAATATTTTTTATGCTTTAATATCATTTAATATTAAAATTCTCTTTAAAATAATGTATTTTAAACATATTTTCCATCGGACAAAATAAAAAATATTCTTTAATTAATTTTTAATTATGCTCTAATAAATTTTCAATTATGCTTACATATTCAATCGTGATATTGACAATATTAGTAATTTTGTAATTTTTTGGTACCTTTGATCAAAATTTTCAATTATGCTTAAATTTTCAATTATGCTTAAATTTTCAATTATGCTTAAATATTCAATCATGATATTGACAATATTAATAGTAATTTTGTAATTTTTTGGTAACCGCTGATCAAAATTTCATTCCATTTTAAATAACAGTATTAATTTCTTAATTATTATTTTAATCTTGTAAAAAGAGGTTGCGCTTTTCATGTATTATACTTCGTGTGATAAAGATTTCGGTGGGTATCTGAGGAATTGAAAACGAAAGGTAACATAACGAGAGGCTTGGTGTGGACGATCCTGAACGAGGCGGAGTGACAAGGATGTGAGCCGATACTAACGGTAGGCGAGATTGCTGGCGGCCAGTCGCTCTGTGAGGGTAGAGGGTGGTTTCGACGTTGAAGAATGGCACGTCGCTCTACGAGACGCGCCGGGAATGCTTTGCCATGTACACGTACAACACGCGTTTAGACAGAAATGTAACTCGTGCTGCAAACGGGTTGCATCCCCGATCCGCGGACCGTACGGTACGCGTATGAATCGTTTTTGTACTACGACGAATAACGTTCGACGGACCGACATATGTGTATATTCCGATTTTATCGGCTTTGTCTACGGAACTACAACAGCATGATGCAACAGCAAAACCGCGTTTTGTCCCGAAGAGCATTCTGCGTGAGTGAATTTTGTTGTAATTGAGGAGGCGCACACGTAACGCTGTCAGGATGTTAACGGTCTGTTTGAGGGAAGTTGAAACTGTTTACTAAATTATCCGGCAAAAATTTGAAAAGTAATTTCAGTATAGAAATATCAAAAAAATTTGTACTAATATTATACACAAATTCTATATAATTAAAATGTACATAGTTAAAATTTTTCTGAATCTTTCTCAATCTTTCAATCATAAGTGTTGATCTCAACCATATGTGTATATCGGTATTTTTCATTTATACCGGAGTTTAAATTTTCTATACTTTTCAAGTGACTTATATATATATATTAATTACTATTTCATTGCATAATAAAGCATTAAAAGTACCAATAAATATGCAAAGCGCTCGGTAATGATTCGATAATGGACCTCTATTTTATAAGGTTTTTACTATCGAATCATTAATCGTTTTAATTATTTATATTAGAACTTTTTAATAGTTTATGATGGAATGAAATAATAATCAAAAGATATTCAAATCGCTGTGCGTAATAATTAGATTTATTTACTTAGATTCTCTTAGAATCAAATAAACATCACCGTCTCTTCATTCTAAAATATATACATAAACCTATAAAACATTATATTTATTTATAATATTTTATTTTCTTTTAAAATATTTATACATTTATATCTGATATAATATTTTTCATAAATTCATCACCTCAGTTTAAACCAGAAATATTTTATCACTCACCAATATGATGTACAGCAGCAGAATTATAACTGCAATGTTGTTCTGCACAATATACATATATCCAAATTAAAATTCATGTTTCACGATAACTAACATTTAAAAGCTAATTACTACGTACAGAATAAAGAAAATAATTCTTTTGTTCAATAAATTTTTATAAAATTTGATAAAAGATAAAAGTTTAAATAATTCAGATAAATTATTCAGAATAAATAAAAGGTCACTTACCCCGTGATTACTCCGCCATCGTTCAATGCTCTTCCTCCCTTCTCGTTCTCTTATGTTCTTCCATTGCACTCATGATATTTACACAACACTCGAAGACCATGACGACCGTTAATTACAATCCGCGATCCTTACACGCACGATCCTTAATCGCGGAAATTATTCAATCGCACGAACTGATAACAGTAGGGAGTAATTGCATCGTCGAGCGTTTCTTAGTATCTATCGTGATAGCATACAGAGAAGTAATATGATGACAAATGCGATGGAGCTTTCCGTTTACCATTACGCGAATGATAACAAAGAGACTTGTTAGCGCGCCGTAAGCCGCAAAACCAAACACCGAGAGTCGCGCGCCAGTTATTGCGAAATATTTAATGTATTATCACGAAATACTAGTACATTCCGTAATAGACTCTGTAATAGCTCTTCACATTTTGTACTGATTGTGAATAAATTGATATGCTATGCGCAGCATTCCGTACTTCAATCACACAAATGAACGATTTGTACATTACGCCTATCGTTTTTTTATTAAAAAAATGATAGGCAATTTACGTATATATTACAAGAAAAGCGCTTTCAATCTGAAAATAGGTAAATTATATATTGGAGAAAAATGCAAAGATAAAATATGAAAGTGAAATCTGAAATTCTTCTTTTCTCCTTTCCTACGTTTCGATTTCTTAATTAATCATATTACGCGCAGATTTTATTATTTAAACACATAAATCGATGATCTGTACATTACACTCTCCTCCCATTTCCTACCTAAAAATAATAAATAAATCGCGTATAAATTAAAGAAAAATTCAAAATACGATGAAATATATATATCTCAGCTCTGGCGCATCATTGAAAAAAACTATATTAACTGTAAAATCAATGAAAGCAATTTGAAATTCCCGTTTTCTATCGCCTCGATTTCCGAATTCGAATGAATGGATGTCCGCCGCGTCGAGTCGTGTGCCTAAATTCAGAGTCATTCATCGCGAGAGTTAACTAATTGCGTCGACTGGTAATTATTATCTCCACGGAATGATCGCGTTTGGGTGTCTCGAGAGATAGTGCAACAATGTTTGGTACTTTTCGCGTCGCGTCTCCAGAGATAACGTGACGTTAGGCAAAGCACGCGGCACTACCGGCTCGCTCGAGTGTCGGCGTACAAATGACTGCGTCGTGACTCTGAATACGCGCGCCGCGTCGCGCTCGACCTTGATACGCAGCATACTTCACACCGAGCGCCGCGCGATAGCTAAACACGGTATTATTTACATTTATTTATTTATATTATTTACATTTTCGAATCATTCTGTTCATTCTAACTGAAAATTCATAACGTAAGAATTAAAGAATTTTAGATCATTGTTATATTTATGAGCAATAATTATTTTTTCAACGATAGTTAAATTCGGATATATCTCAGATCGCATGCAAAATTTTTTTTTTTTTTTTTTTTTGTAATTAAGCTGTTGTTATACATTTTGCATTTTATTTCTCGGATTTATTTGTCTTGTTCAAGATAATTAATTTCGCTTAGTTGGGTAATTAGTTAATTATCCATAGGATTAAATAATTTGCGAATTACAATTCAAATTTGTTATTGATAATTAACTTATCAGTATTACATATATGACTGATAACATTTGTGTATTTATTCATTAAACAGAACGAAATTAAAAATAAATACAAATTTAAAGTTAAAATACTGAAATATTATCTGGATTGCAAAAATCAATAAAAAAATAAATACAGATCAAAGTATTTTTAGATTTATAATTTGCATTGATCTTTAAGTTAGAATTTTATTTATAATTTTCTGTATCATCTATTTCGAGAGTTGTATGTATTTTAATGTATATTTTAATTATGTATATTTCATAATTGTATTATTTATTTTTATTATTTTATTATTTTTATTATTTTTATATATTTTACACTATATACGACATATAAAATTAAAAATTATTACAAAATAATAATTATCTTCTGCATTTCAGTCTGGATAAACGTCCAAAGCGGAATTAAACATATAAATGTACATAATGTATATTATTAATCTGATTTCATAAATTCCATCATTGATGTGATATCATTAACTAACTCTGATTGTTGGTTGATTGTTATTTGTGAATTTGAAAATTATTGATAAATTATTGATGATATTGCATGTTTAAAATTTTTTATTTTGATTAATCTCCAGAATACGCTACTAAAATAATATATGGCAATTGTGAAAGACGTTATATATAAAAACGTTATATATTCTTCTTGCAAAAACAATTAGAGTTTTTCTCATGAGAAATCTTACTAACACGTAACACATTTCTAAAGTACGTTAACGACAATATTTCGAGAGCTTTGCGCGTCGTTTCGTCTAAGAAACACGCTGTAATCGTTACGCTAATCGACGCTTTAATTATTCTTCAATTACGCGCGACGGTGCGCCACTCGTTGTCTCTGGTTTCTCTTGCCTTATCCTTCCTAATATTTTAGGTAGGTAAAGAGCCACAACTTCAAATACATTGGTAGATATGTACAAGGTGTAATACAAGTAATTTGCAGTGTGCTATTTGTGTAACGCGCAGCAGCAAGACAGCCGTTGTTTCCCAGATACGAATGTCCCCGTTGCATCGTTAATTTTCTCCTTCTAATAAATGTTCTAATGTTCGTAACGGTCTAATTACGTTGCATAAATTTCTCCTGATTCTTTGTTTTGTATCAAATTTTGCCATAATAATACGAAAAATAAACATTTTTTTCTTAAAATAAAATTTTGCACGTGATTAAATACTGATATATAATATAGCCAAAATAATTTTATTAAATTGTAAATTGATTTTTATTAGAGTTGTAAGACAATATTAGAAATGTATATAATATTAGAAATTTTAATGTTTTATCTTGCAAATAATTATGGACATGTAAGAAAAATGTTTGAAAAAGGGGAGACAATTATAAATTATAAATTTATATTATAAATTAAATATTTAAAAGAAAATTATTTATTGCTCACCTGTTCGACCCATAGATTTGTTGTCATGATTTGGTTCTTCAAGTTCTGTAACAAAAATCATTTGCTCAATGAATATAAACAATATATTTTTTTTAATATTAATTTTTAATCGTATAATCGATCTATTATAAATTGATTATCTATTTTATAAATTAAATTGTATTAGACTTTTAATTGATTTTTTTATTATACATAAGTACACGTTTTTCGATCAATTTATGGAATCTTTAATTTAATTTTAAATTCATTTTTGAAATTACTTGAAATAGAAAGATAACGTTGATTTGTTTAACTTTCTATAACGATTTCTACGATCCTATTTGGCAAGCGTTTGGCAACGTTTCGACTTCCAAATGTACGACATTCCTCGTCTCCTTTTTGCACCTGTCACCCACAGTGCATTGTAATTTCCGGATTCAACGCCGACCCGCGACTAATTGGACCAGCTAGCTGTTCGGGCACATAGACGGAACTTGCAGCCGTAATCCCAGTTATGGACTGCTAGTATGCGATTTTGGACTTTCCGCTATTTCGTGAATCCCCGACGTTCACATTTCAAACTATATCGCACGTGGAATCCATCCGCATGTCTGTTTGTATATGCGCGCAAATCTAATCCCGATTGAATGCGAACGATGTGTGTCGGGGACAAGCGTGTCCTCAAATATTTCTGCCATATTGATACAATTTCCTACTGACTTCAGGATACACGATTATTAATTACCTATTTACAAAACTATAACCACCGCTATCAATATCATCATAATTATTGCAATTATCGACCACGAAAGTTATGATATCAACGTTATTAATTTAATAATAACGTACTATTATTATCGTTATCTGATACACGGATATTACCACATTTACATGTAAACTTTTAGTCGCGGCGATTTATCTCCTCGCTTAATGCAGTCATGGACATTGCGGTTATAATACTTTCTTGTCGCTTTCACTCATTTAATTTTGCAATTTTCACCGCGGAAATTTATCTACGTCACGAATTCCGTTGCGTGTTAAATAATAAATAAATATATATATATATATATATATATATATATATATATATAATTAAATAA